CCCTTTCCTTCATCTCTTCCCCCCGCTCCCTCCTTCCCCCCTTCCTCTCGCCCTCTTGCCCTCAGGGCCCCTTCCGGCGGGGATGTGAAGAGACATTGCGAGTGAGTGATTGAGCCATGCGTCCACGAGCGCCCGAGCCCAGGGTTTTAGGGTTTTAGGTCCTCTACAGAATTCAGTTAGTTTTCTAATGGAAATTACGGTGAAGGCTTAATTAAGCAACAACACCCCGCACCACCATCACCACTACAACACGCTAACGGCCATATGTAGTTTTCTGTTGATTATCGGTTGTTAACCTCCTGCAACTAAGAAGGCAAAGATTTAAATCGACCTTCAGGTCCTCCGGAGCAATGCTGAGTCACTCCTTACGGTTCTGGAGGTGGTTCTGCACGACCCGCTGCACAAGTAGGTTGTCGGGTTTCAGTTAGGTCGTTGTCAGTTGCTGGTTGACAGTTGGGATTAGGAGATTACTAGAAGCTTCACAAGTGGAGAGGCCTTGTTGTGCTTTTCTGTCAAAGACTTCCGTACACGAGGTGCGGCCGAGGTTTTGGATTGTGTGGCAGGCCGTACTGCCGTACTCAGCAAATACCCGTGCGGGATGTCCCGGGAACTCGTCCTCCCTGGACCGCCGTACACCCCCCCGGGTTATGCATGTTCGTTTTCCCCGCCGCCTTCAATTCAACTCCTGTGTGACACACCTCTCCCTCTCCCCTCCTTACCCCCCCCGGTCCCCAAACAAAACACACCTTTCAACACCACACCATCAGGTGGTCGTTGACACTCGCCAAGGCCCGACAAAAGCAACCTCGCGACCGGGGAGGCTCGACTGGGGAGCAGTACCAGCAACTGCAGCAGCAGCAGCAACAAGAGCAGGGGGATGAGGGTATGTACGGCAACATTTTTAGAATGGAAAGATAAGGAAAGCTCACCAACCAATCTTAGCAACCGGGCACTGCCAGCACAGCGTACGGTTCCGTACCGCGTTGTGCAGTTGTACGAAAAAACGCACTGGTTTGCTGTTTGGTGTTTGGTGTTTGCTTGCAGCGCAGCGAAGAGAATTCCCAGAATCCCCCTTTCCTCGCCCCCCGTGACCACCCGGATGGATTCAGCTCTCGACCTGTTTTTCTGTTTCCACATCAGCCACCACTCCCGACCGACCGACCGCCGGCAATCTGGCTCCGTTCCTTAGTCCTGACTTGATTGCCTATCAGTCTGTCTGTCTGTCAGTCAGTCAGTGTGTCAGTCTGTCAGTCCGTCAGTCAGTCTGTCCATTTCCCACCTCTTCACATCTTCAGTCTTCCTGCAACCCCTCACCTCCCCAGAGGCTACGGCGCTGCTTGGTAACGCCGATGCGGCGCGTGCCGTACTTAGAGTGAAGCAAAAGCTCGAGGGTCGCATGGACGCTGGTGGCCTCAGCCGTACAGCCGCCACTACCAACACTGGAGGTACGGCAGCTGGCGGCGGGGCGATCGGTGGCGGCGGCGGCAGAGCAGCTGCCGCCGCTGCCGCCGCCGCCACCGCCGCCGCCGCCGCCGCCGCTGGAGCGGCGACTACCGGGTCGGCCGCGCTGGCTGCTGCCGCCGCGGCGGCGGCTGCGGACGCCGGTGGCGCGCCTCTGAATGTCGAAGGACAGGTGCAATAAGGGGGTGTGTGGAAGCTCCAAATAAATATAAATGCATGAAAGCATGCAACAGGCTGTAAGAACCTGTGGGTGGGGGGTGGGGGAGGATGTTTGTGTATGTGTGTATGTGTTGTAGACGGTGTCATGACGACTCCCTCAGCCGTTCTTCGCAACCCCTCTCTCGGGCCGTCCCCCGGCAGCTGCCCCTCTGAACTCACTAATCCGCCCATCCCATCCGTCTATCTCTGGTATTTGCTCTTCATTCTCCAGTGGTTCGTCTTACCCCCCGTTACATGTACACCCACCCACCCACCCACCCACCCACCCACCCACCTCGTCTGCAGTTGTCCACACACACCCTTCACCGGGTATATGGGCTCCTCTCCCCCCACCCCACCTCCCCCTACGGGTACACCTCCCCCCACGGGCACCCCCCCAGGTCCGGGCCCTGCTCGCGGAGGCTCAGGACCCGCACCGGCTGTCCAGGATGTACGTGGGGTGGTCGGCGTGGTTGTGAGGGGGGAGTGGTGTGTGTGTGTGTGTGTGTGTGTGTGTGTGTGTGAACACACACAGGTCAGGTGGGGTCAGGTCTGGTCTAGTTAGGATAGGGTGATAGGGAGCTGAGGTGGGGGAGGGATGTGTGCGGGAGTGGGTTGTGGTTGGGTGAACGTAGCCGGGGAGGCGTGTGTGTGTTCGTGTGTGTTTCGTACGACGTACTTGTGATGCAGGGCTAGGCATTTGTGTCCGGCGAAAACGTGCGAAGTGATAGCGGCAGTGCACCATGTTGTGTACGACTTAGGATAGGGCAGCGGCATCGGCAGCACGTGGTAGAAACGATAGCTGCAGAGGAGCAGCAATCAATGATTGCAGCGGCAGTGGTGGCGCCACCGGGGTACGGCAGCATGGGGTTTTGTTGGATGATGATGAGGGAGGTGCAGGTGACACACATGTGAACCTGGTGTGATTCAAGTGCCAGACTGGTGGTTGCGAGTGTACGGCGTACTTGGGGGGGCAGGGGGGTGCGTTGCGGAGGCGCCGAATGATTTTGCAAGAGAGAGAGTGTGTGTGTGTGTGTGTGTGTGTGTAACCCAGGGGGGCATCCTGACCATTGCATCCCCGCAAAAGGAATGAAATACCGACTTTTCCTCGCTTTTCGACGACCCGATTGCCGTACTTCTGCCGTACATCGTTGTTCTTATTGTTGTCGGACAGTGCGGATTGAGAAGGCGTTAGAAGGCAATAGCCTTTCCTAAGGTTAGTCGTCTTCAAGAAAGTTGAGCAGTACCGGAAAGACTGTATCTTCCGATCTTCACCTCTCGCGGCGAGTTAGTAGTCGGTGTCTGAGATTATCTCGTCAATACGCGCAAGTCCAAAAGGCAAGATTACCACGTCCCACTTTGCCGTCATGCCATTTTTGAGTCAATATAGTTTTTCAAAAATTTTGCAGGACCTCCATCCATATATTCTTAGCACCATTTGTAATGCGGCAGTCAGGCTGTCGGAAGGCCGTTCGGTGGCTGGATAACTAGCGCTTTTCCCAGCCGCAGCCGCAGCTGCTGTGCAGCTGCATCCTTTAGGCAGCGGCCAGCTAGACGCCCTAGCTGCCCATTCACAGCATTCAAAAGTACGGCAAATCTTTCAGGCACCGCCCATAACGAGTATCCATGGATAACGTATTTCAAGAGGATGCTTATCATCCTTTTCGCATGGACATGCCAAGAGTGCGCGTGCAGATGCCGACACACACACACACACACACACACACACACACACACACACACACACACACACGCACACACACACACACACACACACAAACACACACACACACACAAACACACGTGCGGGCGGGCGGGCGGTGTTCTGCGCTGATATGCAAATATGGGAATGCAGGCGAGAACTAAAGTAAGCGGAGCTCATCACCCTCGATGCGTTTGCCGCGTTAATGCGCGTGTGTGTGGCACGGTTGGGCAGGCGGAGTGTGAGTGGGCGTCTTCGCGCATGATGATGTTTGAAGGAGGAGCAAGAGGAGGAGGAGGAGGACCGAGTCATATTGTATAATGCACGCTGGAAAACAGGCAGGGAGGCTATGTACCACCACCGAGCGATTATCGCTGTTGTTGCTGCTACTACTGGATATTTTACCGACATTGATGAACTCATGCTGCTGTGCAGGCGCGCATCTATGTTGTGTCTGTATGTATGCATGTGTAAGAGAGAGAGAGAGAGAGAGAGAGTGTGTGTGTGTGTACAGCGCAGGTTCGTGGTGGTGGTGGTGGTGGTGGTATAATAAGATTAGAAAGCGATGGTGCACAATGACGTAGGTGGGGGCATCGATTGATATTTCGTGATCAAGCGGGCAGGTGAACCAGTTCCTCGGGGGCCGTTACGCCCCTTGGCCCACTGCCCTCCTAACACCCAACCTCATACTACGTCTCTCGCGCTCAGTCAGCACGCCAGCCCTGATACCACCGCGATACAGCCATGGCCCGGACCCCCCCCTGGAGAGATCACACACGGAGGAGGTCCACCCGCTGCTGAAGTTGGGGGGGAAATATGGGGGGTACGGGAGCGACCACCTCTCCCTCCGATTCCCCCCTCACTGTACATTGCTTCGTACGGCAAGCGGCTGCACTCAGGGGGCGGCGGCGGCGGCGGCTGTTGTTACATGGGCGGAGACTTTGACTAGTGTGGCTTTATGGCTTTATGGCTTTATCCCACTTCAACAAGAAGTACCATGTTGACGGCAAAACGCGATAAACATTTACACACGCACACACATACATATATACATACATACTTAACCACCGGCGCGTATACACCAAGCTCATGCGTACAGACACACATACATGCGCGTACACACACAGGCATGGCTGCGGCGACGATGATGATGATTGGTGATTATGATATGATGATCATCATTATGATGATGATGATGATGATGATGGTGATGATGATGCCCACATGTTTTCCACCGATAAAACACGACATCTCGCGTACGGGGGTACGGGGGTACGGGGATGCAGATCGCAAACTGTCGTCCTCTCGAGTGGTGACACCGTGGGCTCCACCTCGCCCACCGAACCCTCTCCTCGCCGCCCTTACCCCTACACACACACACACACACACACACACACACACACACACCTGATACACACACAGACACACTCTCGCCCATCCTCCCACCCCCACCCCTCCAGATTCCGCCTGCACCGCTTGGTGTGGTGGTTAGCTGCAGTACACCCGCCGCCTTCGCCACCACCAGGCTGAATCATCAAGCGATATAGATGCGACTGTGGATGTGGTTTTAATAGCCTGAGGTGAACTGCCGACAGCAACTGAGTGTACGATACGGGTGCGGCTGTTTGTGTACGATTTCCCTGACATCAATACACAGCGGATGCCGGCACCCGCAGAGGGAAATATACGGACAGCCAACCGCAGTAGCAACAGCGACCAACAGTGCTCCTTTCCCCCGCGCCCCCCTCAGCGTCACTCGTCTGTGGTCCTCTCCCCTCTTCGCCCTCTTTCCCCTCTTCGCCCGCTTAAACCTCGGCAGCGATGTGGCGGTGATGAGTGGTGTTCAGGAAAATGTTGTGATGTGGCAATACTCCTGCAATGCGCCTCCGGCCGGGTGCAAAACTAGACCCAAAGTTCCGCTGTAAGAGCGTGAGCAATATAGGGATC